CCCCTTGAATTACAAATAAACCCTATTCTAGAGGTATTTTGAAAATTAGTGAAAACAGTGCTGTTTAGTTGAATGTCACCAGAATTTTATTTTGATTTTTACTGCTAAATATGATTGTAATGCCCAGTTCTCAGCTTTATTTTATTATTTCCAAATCCAGAATATGTTTGGACTGGGAAAGGCTATAGAGAGAGTCCTCGACTTACAACAGTTCATTTAGAACTGTTCGAAGTTACAAGGGCACTGAAAAAGTGACTTATGACCATTTTTCACACTTATGACCTTTGCAGTATCCCAATGGTCACGTGATCAAAATTCGAATGCATATATTTATGTTGGTTGCAGTGGCCTTCCCAGGGTCATGTGATCACCATCTGCGACCTTCTGACAAGCAAAGTCAATGGGGAATCCAGATTCATTTTAACAGCCGTGTTACTATATTAACAATTGCAATGAATCATTTTAACAACTGTGGCAAGAAAGGTCGTAAAATGGTCATTAACAAATGTTTCACTTAGCAACATACATTTTGGGCTCAGTTGTGGTCATGTGTTGAGGACTACCTGTACACATTGTAAAAATAAGTGAAATCTTTCATTTTAAAACAATGTTGCTGAATTCTATTTAACTAAAAATGTTCCAAAGGTCATGATTTAGAGTGTTCTATTTCTTTACAGATGCAGTATTCCTTCATATATCAAGCCTTACTTGAATACTACCTCTATGGCGACACAGAACTGGATGTATCCTCCTTAGAAAAACACCTGCAGCCATCAAATAGCACCACACCAAATCTTGTTAAGATAGGATTGGAAGAAGAGTTTAAAGTAAGCCTCTTAAAAATGTTATAAAATATGACAACAAAACACACTTTTAAAATGTAATTTGGTGATTGACCCCAGTGCTTCTTTTTTAATACATTACTTTTTTTTCTCCTAAATTATTTGATTTTTTTTTTGCAATATCTGTCATGTTATTTATATCTAAAATATTGTAAAATTAATGGGTTTTTTATGTCTAGGCTTTTAATTTTTTTAATTTAAACTAAGTACTATGAAAGCAGCATCATAAAGAAAATATTAAAACAAAAATTCACCCAATCAAATATTTGAAAAAGAAAATAAATGGATTGGGAGTACATAAGTATATTTATAGTGTTAAGTATGAAAAAATAGTCATGTTCAGTATTCCTGTCCAAAAATACACTTGTATTGGTGAAGGAAAAATTACTCTGTTAATATAACTAACAAACATTATTTCAGTAAAACATTCTTTTAGAATGTTTCCTTATATATATGTAACAAAGCTTCTGTGCAATTGTAATAATATAACATGTTGATTTATCAAGAAGAATTTTTCAGAAAAAAATATGATTAAGACATTTCGGTTGAATTTGTTACTATTCTTCTCACATTGAGTTTTTTATTTTCATTTGTAGTTATTATCTAATTTTTACTTTTGTTTTAGAAATTAACAAATGTTCGAATAATGAAAGAAAACATGAGAACGGGTAATCTGCCAGCAAATATGAAGAAAGCCAGAGTTATCCAAATAATCCCTTGTAAGAAATTAAATTGTATTTTCAAACAAATTGTATAACTTAATTGACAAAAACTAACCTGAGAGAATATTGTAATGTTTTTCAAGCAACAGTAGGTGGCATTGCAGACTGAAATAGCTAAATTTTATAAAAGCCTGCTGACTATAATTTATATTATTATTGATTATAAAATATTTAGAATTTTACAAAATCTACTTCTTTTGTCCCCTAGATGATTTTAACAGAGTGATTCTTTCAATGAAACGAGGTCAGGAGTATACAGATTATATCAATGCTTCCTTTATAGATGTAAGTACTTTTCTGTACAGAAAATGCACATACTGTAAGAGATGTTAACATCTTTTCCAAAATATTTGTTTAAAATTCATCTAGAAAAGAACATGACCTTCAGCATTACTATATGTTAATAAATTTTTTGTTAATTTTTAAAAAAGGAATTAGAGCCTCATAATAACATTAAAAAAGACTTTGTATTTAAAATATCAACATAAAGAAGCAAACATCTTTGCTTTTTTATAAGAACCAAGATTAATTTGCTTTTTACTGTAGTAGGATTTGTTTTATTTAATTGAGAATCGAATTAGATAACTTTCTTTGTTGCTGTCAAACTTTTCTCTCTCTATTTTGGTGAAGAATATGTTTTTTCTTGGTGTTTCAACAATAGATGAATATCTTTAACATAATATTAAATTCATATGGTGTATTATGTCAAACTCGCATATTTTAAGCTTCATAAAAGAGTATGATACTCAAAATGCTTTGACTGAAGCCACAGAGATCTCCAAAATTTGCTATCTAATTGTATTGTTAATACGACAAATGAAAAAATATGTTACACACATGACTGAGAAATGATCTCTATTTAATGAATTTGACATGTTAAATACATGTAAATATACATGAGAGGAATCATTTACTGCCCTGGTTCCACTTATTCTATGGTTCTGATGTTTTTCTCAAAGATAAACTGGAGAAAAAAAGCCACACAGTTTGGCAGTAAACATAATAATTCGTTTGATTTTGACTTTTGTGAAACCAGCCATTGTGTTTTGTAAATTGTGGCTTCCTACCATATTGTTTAAATTTGGCCATTGTGGCTACTAGCTCAACAGACTATTGTTAGAAGAAATTGTGTGTTTTCTTGCTTAGTCAACATAATGGTATTCCTCTCACATCCTCCTTTCAGATGAAAGAGACCTCATTATTTATTAATTTAACAAACCCCTGCTTTCTCTGGTGTCACCCTCCAACATGTATTCTTTTCAGTCATTGAAACAGGTCCAATACAAAAGCCTCAGTGAAGACTTGGGCTAAATTTGCTTAACAAATTTCTTTGATTTGTGGATCAGAGTGAATGGGAATGGGACTGGAAGGACCTTTAGAACCTTAAAGAAAACATCTATTCTGATAGATCTATTTAATATAAAATTCCTTTCAATCGGGAGAATCTAGATAACAATTGTCAAAGGATGAAATATTTCTTTATGTCCAGGGCTATCGCCAAAAGGATTACTTCATTGCAACTCAAGGACCTCTTCCTCATACTGTGGAAGACTTCTGGCGAATGGTGTGGGAGTGGAAATGCCACACCATCGTTATGCTTACAGAAGTGCTGGAAAGGGAACAAGTATGAGCATTTTGTACAGTATCTTGTAAACATTTTGTTATTAATTTAAAAAAAAAACGAATAAGAGTATAGGAATATATATCATTAACACTGATCTGTAAAATGTAGTGCCTCAACAGGCTTAGCACGAATTTGTCCTAGCAAATGTTTTGCACTCCTGAGACTGTGGATGTACAATTGTTGCTTTTGCTACTGACCAGGATTTTAACTGTTCAATAAATCATGAAATCTCATGTGAAGTAGCAACTGGATATTCTTGAATGTAGAAATCTAATTGTCATACTTTGTGCCATAGCCAGGGTCCAAAAAAAGTCATCATAATTCAGAGGCAGTTACAATCAAATAACAGGAAATTCAGTGGGAATGAAGTGTGGTTCTGCACTCAGATGTAGTGATGCTTAACGCTTGCAATTTCCTTATTCTGAAGGAAAGAATAAGAAGAATTCTATATATATGGTGTTCTGAAGAATTCTGTATATATGGTGTTATCTTAATTATCAGTTTGATGTGATTCTCTTTATTACTCAGATTATATAGTACATATTATTATGTACAATATAAGTGGATGGGAAGATTGGAATTAATTTGTAAATCACCATTCCCAGAAATAATTGACATAGCTTAGATAGCAACAAGAAATCAGAAAGCATCATTTGTTTTTTTCTGTTTCTAAATTTTACAGGAAAAATGTTTTCAGTATTGGCCATCAGAAGGTTCTGTTTCTTATGGCGAGATTACCATTGATATTAAGAATGACTTGCTTGTTGATACTATAAGCATAAGGGACTTTTTGATTACACACAATCAGGTATTCTTCATAATTTCCTTACTTCTTAAACTTTGGATTTATTTACTGTTGTTTTAAATATATTTTATCATATTTAACAGACTGGTAAATAGTTATGAATATCTTATTTTAACAAATGTATTCTGTCAAGAATAAGCAAAAGGAGCAAATATTAGAACAGAGAAATTTTCACTGTCCAGAAATTTGATCCCACCCTTCTGTAATTGGCTAACAATGCAAGTTTCATATGTTGACTTGGTTACATCTTGCAGACAAGAAAGGTGTATACTGCAGAACTCTGAAATGAAGTCATGTCTCATACACATGCATGCTCGTGTGTGCACACACACATACACACACATACATACACACCACACATTCTCTCTCTCTGTATTATACATAAACACATGTATATATGTACAGTATATACATGTTTGTATGCATGGTGTAGCAGCACTAAGGTTTAAATTCTAAACCTTTTCAAATCAACAGATATGAATTATTGTTTCCTTGGTCTAAAGCATGCAAGATATTTCTTTCATTTGATTCTATTCAATCCTTAAATTTATGAAGAACGTCCATTCATCAATTTAGTGTTCAGATCACTGGAGAATGTTAAAAATGGAAACTCTGGGTGGGTGGGTGTATGTATGTATACACATACACATGTATATATACACATACATAGGTAATCTATAATTAATCTATTTTCTAATATTACATTAGCAGTTAAGACAAAAAGGTTGATATAAATTGCATAACTTTTGTCACTGCTTATAGAAATGTTGCAATATGTAATTGACTTTGAAAGCTTTTATCAACCTTTTTAAACAGTAAGTTTTGCTATGTCTAATGGAGTTACTCCCAGAAAAGTGGATGAGGCTTTGGTATTTAAAACTATTTCTTTCCATTACTAAAGTTAACTTAAGGTGTTGCTTTCTCACTTCTGAAAAACCAGGAGAAGCAAGGCAGAGTTATTAGACAGTTTCATTTCCATGGATGGCCTGAGATAGGCATTCCGACTGAAGGGAAAGGTATGATTGACCTCATTGCAGCTGTTCAGAGACAGCAACAGCAAACAGGAAACCATCCCATTACAGTACACTGCAGGTAAACACATTCTTGCATTTTTCCCCCTTCATATTCTTTTGCACTTTAAATCTAAAAAGCTAGCAAGGACTTTCACTCTGAAGTAAAGGCAGTAGGTACCTGGAAGAACATTTCACAGTGAGAAAGCTTTTTTCCAGCTGCAACTTACAATATTTACAGCTGCAGGATAGGGAAGCAGGTGAATTGGCCAATGATGAGGGTAAGCATAATGGCAAGTGTATATACAAACTGATGATGCTTCAGATAATCTGGTCCCAAGCCATAAAAGACTATGAGATACAAAAATAACCATCAGTGAATTGGTTCCAAAAACTGACAAGACTCAATGGACTTAACAAAACACCACAATGTAATGTAACTTCTGATTTCAAGTCTGGCTCCTACTTTGTGATCAACTTATAATTTTTTCTGCAGAGGTGGTCTCACTTGCACCATATTAAAACAGAGTAATCTAGAGGTTACCAGAGCATGGATAGTGGACCTCACAAGTTGCTATTGCTGATCAGAAATGAAAGAAGTGTAATTGTAGAAAAAGAGCTATCATGATATAGATATCATGCTATCATAGCATGAAATGCACATGGTGTGGTGGTGTAGCACTTCACAATTCTATAGTTGTTTTAACACATGATTCCATAAAGGATTCTATAGGGCATGGGCCCTATCGCTTGGAACACCTAGAAGTCCAGATGAATTTTAAAAATGAGGTTAACAAATCTTTAATATCCCTTTGCTTCTACTGGATAAATTGTTCAGATTCCTAAAGATGTATTTTGTTTAATCTTGTTCACTATAGTTATAATTCACGCTTCACTCTAGGCTCATAAATTATCAATATTGAAATAGAGTATGGAAAAGATTTTTATTGTTAACAAAGTACTGCAGTGTAACAGAATCTTGAAAGCCTGCCAAAGCAATTATCCAGATCAGTTATACCTCATGTAAATACAGTGGAGCTATTCTGAACCTCTTTCTCATGCTTACCTTTCCTCTGGATGAAGGATTTCTATTTGTCAGTGTCTTCTTTCCCTCTCCATCTTCCTGGGATCTACTAAACATTCTATCATAGCAGTTTACACAAGCTAAATTGAGACACAATTCAAGAAGTGTGTGAAAGTTGGTGTTTTTTTTCCAAACCACTCTGAAATAACCCAATCCCTAATTGTTCTACAAAGTTGAAGAACGCTCTCAATCAAGGCTGAAATAATTATCCCTTCCCATTTTGCAAGTGAAACTTCCTTTGTATCTTGGTGGATGGATGAATGCACTCCAGAGAAAATTTTGTTTATAAAAAAGTAACTATAACATCAGCATTCACTCCCTGAACAGTTTTAAAGTTTAAATTTTTTAAAAGCTTATTTTTTACAGTAACAGGAAGAAGGTTCTATAAAATCTATATATTGTTTCTATGAATTAAGCAAATCTGCTAAATGAATGCCATATCTGGTTATCTTGAAGAAGCAAACCACTATAGAGACAATTAAGCCTATTTATATTAGCAGAGATTCAATTCTACATGTATGTTTTATTTTTCTGCATATGATAGACCAACTTATTTGTCTTTGTCTTGTAGTGCTGGAGCTGGAAGAACAGGTACATTCATAGCACTCAGCAATATTTTGGAGCGAGTTAAAGCTGAGGGGCTCTTAGATGTATTTCAAGCTGTGAAAAGTTTACGGCTGCAAAGACCTCATATGGTGCAAACACTGGTAGGTTGCTTCACCACAATTTATTATATGGCACTAATATTTTTAGAGTAAAATAGAGGCTTTATCTTTATCTAGTCATACAATAGAATTGGTTTGCTCAAGCACAGTGACTGAGCCTCAGCTGATGATGGTAACCATGACTGCAGGGATTACTAACCAATGCTGTCACACATTAGGACCATATCATTTAATGACAGAAATTCCCAATTGCCGTTGTAAATTGAGGAGTACTTGTTCTGACCCAGGCTGGACAGAATCACAAAATAGACTCCTTGTCCCTCCCAAAACCCCATTTTTATTTGGTTAATGTGAATGCCTGACATTCACACCCAGAAAAGTTCCAGCAAATAGCCTTCCAAGGTTTAACTGCACAAACAGATCTTATCAGTCCTTGGATAGTTGCCAGGCCAAAAGCTTCCAGTCACAATGCTGTAAAAGGAAATACTTGACACGGAGTCTCTGTGAGCCATGAACTCAGATAAGCAAATCTTCATAATAGTAAGTGAACTAATTGTCTCTTGTAAACACCCCTCCCCTTTTGCTCCTATTTATTCCATATGGGAGCAGCCATTCAGTATCCACTTGTGGCTTTTCTTCTGACTCCAGTTCCTTAGTTGTTCCCTTCTCCTGACAGCTCTGTGCATGCATGCATCTGGAACTGGCTCCAGTTGTTCTTCTTCCCTGCTAACCTCCAACTCCGAAGGCAGCTGATAAATGTCATACAGCCGTGGCCCCTTTCTGCCACTGACGTAGAGCACCCATGAGAGCCTTCCCCAGACTCCAGGACTGGCCCAAGTTCCTCTCCAACCTCCTAACTGTCCGAGTCTGCCACCAGCTCTGCTGGCAGCTGACAGGCCACAACAGTACCTGTAAAAATTACCTCAAAATTCCTCCCCAATGTAAAAATACCCAGTTATAGAATGCCTAAGCGGTTATGTTAGGATACAATTTCAGGTTCCCTTATTTTGCTAGCATGCTCAAAAAGAGCTGGAAACCAGTTATGAATAAGAGAAAGGGTTAAAACATCTAATCAGTTTTTATCCTGGCCAGCAGCAAAACTTAGAACTGGTCTTTTGTTTGTTCTGTGAAAACTTTTTCTAAAGTGAGTAGTGAATTTGCATTAATAGGCTCAAATGTAGGTCAATAAACTGAAAATACATTTATATTAATAAAAACATATAAAAGTACCAGGATTCATTTCTCATTCAAATAGTTCTTCAAAGGAAATAATTGTTTTGTTCATTGTTTTACACATAGTAGTTTTAGTCTAGGCAGTGTCACTTGATAGGTATTTGTGCTGAAACATGTAACAAAAAGTGAAAAACATTTTATTTGTATGATATTTTATCATGATTCTACTTTTGAAGTTAATTCCAGTTCAACAGAGTTTAAACATAATAATGTCTCTTTTTTTGCACCTGCAGGAACAGTATGAATTCTGCTACAAAGTGGTACAAGATTTCATTGATATATTTTCTGATTATGCCAATTTCAAGTGAAAATGCCTGCCATTTTTTAAAATTTAATCATCTGTACAAAGATTTGTAAATCATGTTAATTTATTTCCATTTTTTTAAAGAAAACTTCTAAATGTGCATATGATTATGTATGTTTTGATTTGAATGTGTCTTCAGGTGTATGTCTGACTCAAATAAGCTTCAACCCTGATCCAAAGGAGTATGCACAGACTCTTTTCATACAATAAAATAAACTTCTAGTCAGCTGTTTGGTGGCAAAAGGAAAGAGCTGATTTATGGGATTTGTATAGTTTTGAAAGGATAATATATTCACCTCAGCTGGTTGATAAAGGAGGAAAGTTGTATACACAGAATATAGTTGCATGTTGGACTACTCATTCAGCTGAAGAAATATTTGCAAAAAACTGTGTCTGCATGTGTAACAACCCTATCTAGGTCATTGCTTTGTGTTTTGGTTTTAATTTTAAATAACTGAGGCCCATGTACAATATAATACAGTATATACTGTTGTGAATACAGGCACAATTCAGCCTATGTTAGGCATATTTAAGACTTACTGATTTCAGTGGGTTTAATAAGCATATGCTTAAATATTTCCCATTGAAATTAATGGGACTGAATCCAGTTAAACGTTTGAAAGCACTGATTCTGAAATTAAACTGATGTAGATCTGGTCAGTGGCTTGGATAACAGCCCGCTGATCACTCTGAGCCCATGTAAGAGCAAAATATATTAATAGAACTCCAAATCTCTTTAATTTTGACTGAATCTTTCCTATTATTTGCCTAAATGCATGAAAAATTGTGATTCATCTCTAATGTTGTTTGAAATTATATATTTTTATTTATTGTATATAGTCCCTAATATTTATATAAAAAAGGAAAAGGAGTACATTTTTAGAGCTAAAAATCATCTTGCTATCATTGAACAATATTTTATTTAAAGCAAGCATCATTTAATAATTACACCACAAAGATATTATACCAATCAGACTGAAAGGAATATGAGCTTTCTATGATAGACAGAAAAAATTCTTCAGTCTTCACTTCAATAAGATTTATACCTGTTTCTTGTTTTCTTATGTTGATGCTATTGTGGTCATTAACATATTTGATCCTCATACAACATCACTAATATTAATGTGGAGAATTCACTGAGATAGATAATATACAGAGTGTGCTAGAGTATAAGAATATTCTAAATATTTATTTTATCAATACCAATTAGAATCATTTGCCTTATTGGTACTGTTTGGATCTTTATAATTAAGCACAATTAGAATAGAGAGGAACACAAATCTTCCATAAGCAACAACTAAGATATAATTTAAACTTTTTTAAAAATGTATATTTTTAAAAATAGGACTCTAGGAAATTCTGTTTTAATGCAAATTCTCAATTAATACCATAGTGTAAATATGGAGTTTCTTAAATTTAATTAAGTAGTCTTAATATATAATTTTAAGTCATCATTTTATTGAATTAAGAGAAAATATATTTAACTTACAAAGCAGCTGATCAATATTTGATACTATTTTGTATCAAGAAATTTTGTTTTGTTGTCATAAATAGCTATAAAGCCAGATATTACATTTATATAAAGAAAAATATATCTCTTTAGTAAGCAAGCTAAATTAATTCATCATTTGCTACTAAAGCTAATAAACAGCTATCATTTTTAAGTTGAATGTCAAATATTCAATATTCAATTCACAGTAAAGCCCTTAATTATTTGAGTTCTTTTGGTATACAAAGCACATTAATAAAATAACGATTCCCTGCACTGTATCCCCAAATATACAGTTGCTCCTTATCACCAGAGTGCATATGTAGTTCCAAAATGAGCAAAGGTCTTATTTCTATTGTAATGTGGCCTACATGAATCTAGAACTTATAAGCACCATGTAGATACCAGAATACCTACAGGTGTTCTGGGTGGGCTATCCACGTGCAAACACTCATGTACTAAAAAGCACAAAACCCAATCATGTTGATAATACTTGTATAAAAGTTGTACCCTATAGTTCCATCTTACTGACTTGTGCAAGATTTCAAAGTTCTTACAACAGATGAAACATTTTCTTGATATTAGCAAAGACAAACAAGAAAAACAAAATAGCATAAGCCTGGATTCAATTATGATTAACTCCACCATTTTCAGGAAATGCAGAGGCTGCTACAAGAAGGAAGAAGATAAATTATTTTTATACTTTCTACCTTATAGTTTTCATTCCCCACACTTTTTTTTAAATATTCTGGAACAATGTAGGGAATAGTAAGAATAAGGATGGAAATATTCTTAGAAATGTCCACCCATTCCTTCCTCTGTGGAGCAACTCATAAAAACTTTGCTCTGCAGAAATATGGATCATACCGAAAGTGTAAAAAAAACCTAGGATGACAGTGAAGTAAAAAAAAATAGAACATTTTATTTCCCCATGTTTTAAAAGGTATATATCTAAAAGCACAAACATAATTTATATAAATTTATATACAAATGTCTATATAATATGCAATATATCTGGCTTGCCTGGTTGTTTTATGAATTATAAATGCCTTATTAAAATTATGTAGATTGCAAAATGATCTTTCTACTTAAACTCTTGTTCTTTGTAATTCTACATACTTTTAAATTACTTCTGAAAGAAAAAGTGAATACTTAGTAACCCAGAAGATAAACAAAATTTCCATATCAAACCAATTACTTTTGATTGCTAAACTGTTTATGTTAGCAGCTTAGATATGTTTTTAAGGACAACTGATTACATCTGGGGAAAAAATCTTACATACATACAGTTGTATGCACATAAGGAACCATTTTATGACGTGACTTATATTAACAATTCTAACCTCAAAAAGTGTTATGTTGTTAAGAAATATTAAGCAAATTTTCTATACTAGGATCTGATAGAATTTTTAAAAACTTTAGAAAAATAAATTTTCCAATTTGATATAGATGAAAATTCATTGAATCCAAAAGATGAACAATTTCATAAGCTGCTTTGGAAAATGCTTCTAGCAACCTTAGAAATATCAAACATTTTCTTCTTGAGTTAAATAGAAATTAATCCTGACATTTTTTTTTGTCCCAGCTGTTCTTTTGTAAAAGGTTCATCTTATATAGATTATGGATAGGATGTGGACCTGAGATTAACATCAGAAATTATTTTAAGCAACTTGAAATCTTGAACGAAATAAATGTCTTTCAGCCATCTTGATTCCTCAGTTCCTTCCTATGGATCTATCCAAATACAGTAGAAACTTTACAACTTTATATAAAACAGTCACCAGTTTAATCTACTTTTGAGGTGTCAAACTCTGTTTCATTGAGAGCTACATCAGGGTTGTGTTTGACCTCAGGGAGCCAGGGTCTATGTGATCAGGGCGGGCATAGCCAGCTCAATGTCACTTGGGTTGGGGGCATCTGTGGTGGCCTGAGCGCTCTGCCAGTGAAAACGGGCTCCTAAGCTCTGTTTTCCACTGCAATGGCCTCCTGCAGCCCTCTGCCAGCAAAACAGAGCTTGGGAGGACCTCTCGCTGGCAGAGGATTGCAGGAGACATGGCAGCTGAAAACAGAGCTGGGGAGCCCGTTTCACTGGCCGAAGCACTGCAGGCCAGTCCTTCGCTGTTTCGAGGACAACTCCATGGGCCAGATCTAAGTACCCCGCAGGCCAGATCTGGCCCGCGGATCTTGAGTTTGACACCCCTCATCTACTTCATATCTCTAGATATTTCCAGGCTACTACAACTGGCTCATGTTTATTCATCCATGCCCATAACAGTGAGGGGTATTTGGTGCTTTCTGAGCTTGGTTGTTTTCTTGCAGATGTTTCATTATCCAAACTAGGTAACATCATCAATGCTAGTAAGGGAGCCTTACTAGCACTCTTACTAGCACACATGATACCTAATTTAAATAATGAAACATCTGCAAGAAAACAACCATGCTGAGAAAGCACCAAAGACCTCATTCCAACCCTGGGCTTCAAATATTCTTCTTCATCGGTACCATACCAGTGAGTTCTTGCTGCTTCCTATATACACTGGCACCACCAGATGTATAGTACTTTATCTCCTACTCAAACATTAATGATTGTATCATTGTTGGAAAAATTAACACATTTGGCGGAAACCACATTTGGAAAGTTCTATAACATAACTGCACCTATGTGAATCATTTAAGAGACAGCATTACACATTGTGTTTAAATTACCCATTAAAAACAGAAAAATCCTGCATGTTGTAGACATATGCCTCATTGTTAAAAAAAAACAGAACTGTTATTCTATAAAATAATATAGAAACAAAATCTGTCAAAAATGCACATAAGGTCCATGAATGAAAAGGACTGCTTTTAACTGAGGAGACTATCTGCAGCTCAGGGTTGAACTGTGAAGTACTTGTTCTGCCTGAACTTAATTTTGTGCTTGATGATATTTCATTTTCTGCCTAGGTAGATAACATCTTCAGTGCTAGAAGGGAGTAGAGTTTCTATGTTATATACAATACAATCAGTGTTGGTGGGATTTTTTCCCCCTTGTAGTTCTGTTTATTGTCAGAAATAGTGTAGGATCTCCTGTTTTTTGGGGGGAGGGGATTGGACTAGATGACTTACAGCATGGGTGTCAAACTTGAGATGTCATGATGTCATCCCGTGATGTATCGTGACTTTTTTCCCTTCATTAAACCGGGGTTGGACGTGATAAGCGACTGACACATCCAGGCTGTGCCAGTGTCGAGGTCCCTTCCAACTCTGTTAATCTGAATTGGTAGTTCCTTGATTAGGTCATTTTTTTTTTTTTTGAAAATTTTATTTGGGTTTTCACAAAAAAATAATACAAATAAAACATCTTTTTTTGAAAATAGCATGGTCTCCAGGTTATCACTTCTTCATACAGACACAAACTCAATTTCATGCTCATTTTTGTGTTCTATTCCATATCTTATTACTGTTTTACATTTTCTATGTAGTTTTCCCCTCTTTTAATTTTCTCAACTTTATTTTGATTATCTCATCTAAATTCAAATCATATTTATACTTTTGTCTGTCCTGTTTCAATTTCATATTATCTTTTCTCATTAAACAAATTTTCTCCTGTAGCTACTAATTGGAGTATGACACCTTTATATCTTTTAATTTTATCAATTCAATTCTTATTTAAACTTCAATGTATACCTTTAAGATTATAACATTCAATATAATACATAACTTCCAATTGAATTCTGCTTGGTACATTCTTAAAATACACACTATATTCTTAAAAAAAAAAGGTCATTTTTATTGCTTGATTGTTTGTCTGGTTTTAATCCTGGTGTTTATCCCTGCTGATTGTTGCTGAAGAGGTATTTGGTATTTTTGTTTCTTTTTTATTGTCTCTTCTGAATGGCATGAAAACTACTGTATATAAATAGAGAGCAACCTCACTTATTCTAGAACTGAAGATGTCATCTATTCAAGTAACAAAATGTCTGCAAGCAAACAACAGAATACTTCCAGTTAGTACAATATAGGTAGTAATTCAAAATATAAATCCAAATAATCTCTCCTAACACATGAAATTTATTCTGCAATAGCTGATTTTAAATAATTATGTTGGATTCTATGAGAGGTGGGGAAACAGAATATTTAACAGAATACTCTTTCTTGGATATTGTCCAGTTTATTTGGTTCTGTGTAATTCCATTTGTTGCCAATATTTCTCTGTATAAAAAAATAATAATTCTGAATCTAACAATACAGGTAGTCCTAGATTTACAACCACATTGAGCCCACAATTTTTGTTGTAAAGTGAGACATTTGTTAAGTGGGTTTTGCCACATTTATGACCTTTCTTGCCAAAGTTGTTAAGTGAATCATTACAGTTGTTAAGTTAGTAGTAAGATAGTTAAATGAATCTGATTTCCCTATTGATTTTGCTTGTCAGAAGGTTGCAAAAGATGATCACATGACCCCAGGATACTGCAACCTTCATAAATATGAACTAGTTGTAAGTGTCCAAATTTTGATCACATGACCATGGGGATACTGCAATGGTTTTAAATATGAAAAATGGTCATAAGCCCCTTTTTTCAGTGCCATTGTAACTTTGAACTGTGACTAAAAAGTTAAGGACTACCTGTAATAGAAAAGTTACAAGGTTGAAGTATTGAAGTATTAGAGAATTTAATTTGGGGTTCAGAAATTTTTAATCAGATCAGGATGCTATACTTCATATAGCATGCAATATTTTTCATGCTTTGTTTTACACCAAGGGTGTCAAACTCACGTCATCACAGTGGCATCACATGATGTATCGGGACTTTCCCCCCCTTCACTAAACTGGGCATGGGCGTGGCCAGCCTGTGACTCATCTGGCCTGTGGGCCAGGAGTTTGACAGCCCTGTTTTACACTGAATGAAACATCATTAATAAATGTCAAATAAAGATTAGAAATTATGTATTCTGATCTGCGTAACAGTCACTATGTGATTGACTTTGTCTTATGCAGTAATAGACACTGATTACCAAAGTTTTAAGTTCCTGTTTTAACTTGGGACATGTGAACAACTAGAAACATTAAAGGCATTTATTTCAAACTGTGTATCTAAAAAAATCCTATATTCATCAACAATATATCAGAAGTTCATTAAGGAGAAAGTTATTAACTAACCAATTAGCTGACCCCCCAAAAAGATTATAAATTGCTTTTTAAATACTCTTTCAATGCAAAACACAAGGGTTAGACATATTCTATATATGCCTGAAACGAGGGATGGGCAGTCTTGACTAACAGCTACTATTTAGAAAACTGTTGAATAGCTCTCATAACATACACAATTGCAGGTAAACAAGTTGGCATGATGCCAAAGAAACCCAGTTTTGAATTACTACTTGGCTGCTTACAGATGTGCTTCAGAGAAATGTTCCATGGGATTTGTACCAGTCAGTTACTAAATTAACTTAGATTAATTTAGTCTGACACTGTTGTGAGACTTGGGTAGCCTAAATCTGTATTTGCCCAGCTCTGAGTCCACTTTAGCCAGTCAATTAATCTTTGCTGCAGAAAAAGTAAACAAATGCATGTTTTCTCTTTAAGAAAGAAACTTTAATCAGGTATTATTCCAAATCACACTAGAGATGATTTATGAAGGGGAAAGAGAATCACTGATGGGTTTGGCTAAGGCACCTGGCTAGAGACTGAATTCTAGACCCATCTTAGGCAGAAAGTGAACTGTATGACTTTGGGCCAGTCACTTTCAGACCTAGGAAGAACACAGTAGCAAACTACTTCCAAAAGATGTTGCCAAGAAAACTACAGGGAATCCAGAATGAATAGAAGGCAAGGCACCCTCCCAAGTACAAAAAAGAAGAAAGGGGTTCCATTGAATACTTTTGTCTTAAGGATAGCTTTGGCACTTTGGCCTCTATTCCTAGCAGTC